CAGGTCTGTCCAGGAGGGGGATTAAAAGCAAGAAAAGGCAATGGCCTTGCATGCTTTGCAAGACCCATGGTCTTGGCACTCGTGTATACACACGTGTGTGTAAGCACGTGTATGAACATGTGCACTCCTGCAACCACGCCCACCTTCAGGCACACCCACTGGCTTGATCATCTGCCTGAACAGCAGACAGGTAAACAGCCACAAGCCCCAGGCAGTCTCCGTACAGACTTAACTCCAAATCCCCAGTCCACATAGGCCTTGGAGCAAGCTTAGACCTTGGAGGTCCAGGCCCATGGGGTTTCACAGGGATATCCATCTGCTGTCACCCACATGCAGATTCTATCTTGGTCACTCTGGGAGCTTCTCCTTCAGGTCTGATACCGAGCTAGGCCAGGGATCCGGGATCAAAGCTGTTCTTCCTGCCCTGGGAAAAGGGCTGATAGAAGGATGCCCAAAACTCTGTCAGGGGAGAAGAGGGCAGCTCCAGCTCTGCTGGGGGTGAGAAGAAAAGGGTCTCCACAACAAAACCTTGCAGTTGGACCTGGAAGAAGGAGCTGGGTTCCCACAATGGTCTAAGGGAAGGGAATTCCAGGTGGAGGAATGGCTTATGCAAATGCATGGCAGCATGCCATGTTCAGAGAATGCCCAGCTGCCAGAGAGCCCCACCCTCCTTCTGCTGGCTGCACCAGGAAGAAGTGTCCTGTTTCAAAGGACTCACTAGGATGAGGGGACCAAACAGAGTACTCACAGCACTGAAGGGAAGAAGTGCATGGGGTACAAGTTGCTCCTTCAAGTTTTCCCTCTATCCCTTTAAAGAATGGACTTCCCCTGGAAATGAATAATTGGGAATGCAGAATAGAATGCAACATCTCAAAAGTGCAGTTAGCAGCTGGATGTGGGTGCCTCACACTTGGAATCCCAGCACTTTGGGAGACTGAGATGTGAGCATTGTTTGAGGCCAGGAGTTCGAGGCCACCCTGGGCCACATAGCAAGACCCTGTCTCTGCATTAAAATTTTGAAAATTAGCTGGGCATGGTGGCACACACCTGCAGTCCCAGTTAATAGGGAGGCTGAGGTGAGAGGATCACTTGAGCCATGAGATCAAGGCTGTAGTGAGCTATGATCACATCACTGCACTCTGGAATAAGTGACAAAGTGAAACCCCGTCTCTTGAAATAAAATAAAGAAGTGCAGTGAGTGAAGGGGTCCCCACACAGTTGCTAAAACTTTCTGTTAAAAAGAGGCAGGGAGAGGCCGGGCGCGGTTCATGCCTGTAGTCCCAGCACTTCAGGAGACTGAGACAGGCGGATCACGAGGTCAGGAGTTCAAGACAAGCCTGGCCAAGATGGTGAAACCCTGTCTCTACTAAAAATGCACAACAAATTAGCCAGGCATGGTGGCAGGCGCCTGTAATACCAACTACTTGGGAGGCTGAGGCAGATAATTGCTTGAACCTGGGAGGTGGAGGTTGGCTTACAAATAGTCTTTTTTATGTATGAAATATAATGTAATTAAAAAACTTTAATTATGTTTATGTTCAAGTTTATGGAGCTATTCGAGGCCCAGTTGGCTGAGCCACTGCAGGGCGATGACCTGAGCTTGGCATTGTCATAGGTGCTGCACCCCTGCTCTGGGGTAGTAGCAAAGCCTGGCCTCTTGTCCCAGCTCCACTGGGTCCACAGAAGAGTCAAGTCATTTCTGGAACAAGATGGAGTGTAGAGGAAGGTAGGGGATGCATGTCCAGCTAATTCCCTCCCTGTGTGGGATTAGGCACATCCTTCCCCTGCCCGGGTCTCAATGTCACCTCCTACAGTGAGGACTTTGGCCACCTGTGACCTGGATTTGGTCAGACTTCACCACTCACTGAACAGTTACACAGGGCACTTTCCCCACCTATAAAGTGGGACTCTTAACAGCATTGCTGAGGAATGCATGAGGCGATGCATGTTAAGGCAGAGTCCCTGCCATATCACAAATTCTCCATAGATGCTGGTTTCAAAAAAGTTACCAGAACAAGCAAAGACCCTTTGTGGAAACAGGGCGGGGTTGGAGGTGTTCTGGAAGATGTGCTCCCAGCCTGGCTCCACCTCTTAGTGGCCAGAAGCCACTGGAGACCTTTCAGTCCTAGGCCTCACTCTGCTCCTGTGCAAAATGGGAAGAGCAGAGGCCCCTTTGGAGAGGACAGCATCAGTCAGGGAGAAAGAGGATGAGTCTGGTGGAGGAGAGTATGTTGCCCACACCAGGTCAGTAACCAGGGCTATAAACCCCCAAGCCCCGCCCAAGGACGAAACCCCAGTCTGCCACATGGAGAGATACTCCCCAGGCCTCAGCAAGGCAGCCCCTAATCTCAGGCCAGATCCAGCGCCTGCTCCTGCTCAGAGTTAGGGGCCCAGGGCTGGGAAGATGGATCAAAGGCGGAGAAAATTAGCATTACAGTGAATCCAAGGAGCGAGGCCAGGATTAATTCACTCTCCTTTCCCTGCTGTCACTTCTGCAGCCCAGGGGGCCTGCCTGGGTTGGAGGAAGAGTCACCTTTTACTCCAATCCCCTACCACACACCTGAGGCCCAGTTCTCACAGAAGAAGGCAGGGCAGGAACCTGTCGTGAGAAGTGGATCCACTGTGCACACATTCCAGAGCCGTGGTCTTGAAGGGACAGGGATGGAGACACCTGGGCAGAAGGGCCATCTGCAGAGGCTGGAGCCTGGACGTGGGTCCAGGGGGTGCAGAGTGAGTCCACAGACCCGACCATGTCATGTCAGGCACACTGGAGCCCGTGTGGACGTGTGGGTGTGTATCTGCCATTCTGGGGATGGGACTTGTAGGCGCTTGGTTGTTAGTCTGAAGCCCGAAGCCCACATGTGCCCTATGTGTGCATCTGTGGCAGGGTGGCTGTGGTGCCTGCACATGCGTTTGTGTCTCTGAATTGGTGCAAGAGTGTGAGCCTTTGCCTATGAGATGCTGGGAGGCTATGGTGTTGAGTGTGTGAACACGTAGGCGCCTGCATGGGCAGAGGGATGTCAAGTGTGGTCCTGCAGCTACCTGGGAACCTTGAGACGAGCAGAACGGAAAAGTGTGAGGGAGACGACTCAGAATGGTCATATTTCCCATACAGAAAGGGTGAGAAGGAGGTTCAGAGGCCCATCCCTTGGGTCCTCCTTCCTGGCTCCATGGGCTATCTCCATCCCTTAGACCTTCCCTGCCACAGAAACTGTGGGACACCTGGCTTACCCTCTCTGTGCCTCATTTTCCTTATGTGAAATGAGGGTATTCACAGTGTGGCGGTGAGAACTGAATGAGTTAATATGAGGGAAGCATTTAAAACAGCTCTGGGAACATGAAGAATGCTCTCCAAGGGACACGGTCGGGCTCAACCGGGTTGGCAGGAGGAATGGGGTCTAACCCAGAACCATCCTTGCAGAAGCCCAGGAATAAGACTACTTTGAGGCAGCAGAGTTGGGCAGCCTTGGGCCATGCAGGGAAAATGGAGTATGTGGTGCCGGAAGAATCCCAACCAGGGCCAACTTGGCAGACTTGGATTCACTGACCAAGCACACAGGTCTCCTCTCACTGCCCCGTCCCCTCCCAGTTCCCACTCTCCCTCCCCCCAGTACCTTTCCCCCACCTGCTGCCCCAGGAGTGTCAGGCCAAGCCCCACACTGCCTGGTCTCATCCTTTAATCAGCATGCAAAGTCCACCCTTTATGCCCATTCTGAACTGGGAAAATTGAGGCTTTGAGAAATGGAGGGATGGGACTGGCAGAGGTGGATTCAGGAACCCAAGATTTTGGAATCTCAGAGTAGCTTGTAGAGAAGCAAAACGCCAATCTGGCCCCAAGGACAGCACAGTTGACTCTCAGCTCTCCTGGGCCTGCACTGGCTCTCAAGGGCTCTGAAAGTGTGCTCCATTCCCTACTGAATCACAGACTGGGCAACCAACACACCCCTCCCCAAGTTCACAGTCTCTACTCCATCCCACACACCAGAACTGGGGAGAATGTCTAGTCTAACGTCTAAAGGAACCCCTAATGTACCTCTCCCATGTCTACAACTTTGGTCCACCTGTTTGCTCTGCCTTCCATCCTCATTTGGTGGCAAGTGCCACCTCTTCTGTAAAGCCTCCTCTGATTGCCTTATCCATTAATGGCCTCCTAGTCCCCTGGCCTCCAGGTACCCAGAGACCCTCCTCTCTTCAGCCTAACCACTTACCTGTTAGGATGTCCTAAAGCGCAGACCAGGGTCTTTCTTGTAGGACTCCACCCCAACCCTGCAGGCCAGAACAAGGATGCCCAAAGGCTTCAGTGAACCACAGGCACACACAAGCCACTCCAGAAGCCACCACAAGTCCTCGTACTATTCAATAGCTAAGGTTCTGGGGTGGATTTTCTTAGAGTCAAAACTCAGCTCTCTTCACTCACTAGCTATGTGACCTTGGGCTTCTTATTTAAGCCCTCTGTGCCTCAGATTGCTCATCTATTAATGGGAATAATAGTTCCAATGCCACAGTGCTGTGAGAATAAATGAGTTAACATATGTAAGCTCTTCTTTTATTTTTTAAAGACAGAGTCTCGACCTGTTGCGTGGGCTGGAGTGCAGTGGTGCGAACTCGGTTCACTGCAACCTGCGCCTCCTGTATTTAAGCGATTCTCCTGCCTCAGCCTTCCGAGTAGCTGGGATTACAGGTGCCTGCCACCATGCCTAGCTAATTTTTTGTAATTTTAATAGAGATGGGGTTTCACTATGTTGGCCAGGTTGGTCTTGAACTCCTGACCTCATGATCCACCTGCCTTGGCCTCCCAAAGGGCTGGGATTACAGACGTGAGCCACCATGCCTGACTAACGTATGTAAACTCTTAAAATAATATCTTATATATGGTATTGCTGTATAAGTGTTTGCAATTGTTATTGTTATGTTATTATTACCAGGAGACTACAGAGAAGTATTGGACACAATCTCTGTCCCCAAGAAGATGGGAGTCCAGACAGGAACAGGAAATGGGGTTGACATTTCTAATCCTATTTATTGCTTGAAAACACACTGGAAGTAGTTATTACCATCCCCACTTTACAGATAAGGAAACTGAGGCTCCCAAAGGTGGTGGGAGCTCCTCCAGGGCTCACAGCTCTAAGTCGCTGTGAGCTGGGATTGAGGGTCAGGTCATGCGGCTCCAAAGTCCACCCTCTTTCAGCAGGTCCGAGTTGCCTCTCAGTCTGGCAGGGAGATAAGCCGTGTACATAAATAGCTGCAATCCCAGGTAGAAAGTGATAAGCGCCAAACAGCAGTGATAAAGGTGAAAAGCTCTGGGAGGGCAGGAGCCTGCCCACTGCAGGAGGGGCCGGGGTGGGGGCCAGGACAGGCTTCTCAGAGTGGACGGCATCTCAGTGCAAGCTAAGACATGTGTCGCTGAATCCACAGTATCTAGCGCTATGTCTGACATGTCACAGGGGCCCAGGAAATATTCGTGAAAGAAAGGGAGGAAGGAAGGGAGGTAAGGAGGGAGAGAGAAAGGCAGAATGGGAGGGTGGCTATAATCTGACCCCACTTGGCCAGGAACTTGTCCCCCTCACAGGAAGACAGAGTCAAGAACTGCCACCAATTAGAGAAGGGCTTCATAGGGTCCCTGTTGTCCTGTGACACCCCAGAGAAGCAGCTCAGGACTTTCAGGCCAGAGTTCCTGACAATCAGATATTTTGCTCCATACCAGAAAGAACTTCCCAGTGAGTAAAGCCGGATAGGACTTCTCTGAGGGGCAGGGGCAATGGTGTGTTGGAGCCTGTTCATATGGCTCACAAGGGCCGATTGTTAAATTTTCAGGAACTGTGCGAGCTGGTTGATGGAACCAACCAGCTGTGCCAGCTGGCTCTGGTCGGCAGCTTGAAACTGGCCATGGTGGGACATCGGCAAATACTACAAACCAGGTTCTCCCCACTTTGGGGAGTCAGATGTTAAACATTTACCAGCACACCACTGGCAGAGGTCTGCTCTGTGAGGTAGCAAGCAGCCTGTCCTGGAAGGGTGCAAGCAGAGACAGTCTCCTCCTGGTAGGAGTGAGGCTAAGGGGTTCTTTCTTAGTGAAGGGCTCAGAGCAAATTATCTCAGAAGCCCCGTTCTGGCTCTGAGAGCCTGTGAAAAGTGGGGTTTAAGAAAAAAACTAAAAAGCAGGGTAATTATTCATACCAGGAAATCATGAACCACTAGACCCAGAGACGGGGAGTAGGGCAGAGACCTGAGAAAATGTGTGAGGGCCACATGCTTAGATTTCCCAGGTGGAAAACTCGGCCCAAGGTGACACAGAGAGGGACAATCCTAGGACTAGAACTTACGTCTGGCTGCCCAACTCATGGTTCCTTCTGGGACATACGGGCTGGGCAACTAGGAGGTGAGGTATCTTTCTGCACAAAGTCTGGTGTCTGTCTCAGAATATAAGCTCTGCAGCTGTGTGGACCAAATCTGTTTTGTTCACTGTTGGAGATCTGGCACATAGCAAGTACTGAATAAATATTTCTTAAAGGAATTGACGTGTCTGAGATCCTGTCTCCTGGCAGCATTTGGTTGGGTGGAGGGTGGTTGGGGCTGGGAATGTCGTCCTCTGACACCGTCACTCCCTGAGTCCCCACCACAACTTAGCGATGTGGAATCAAGAGACCAGGGTTCACATCCCAACTCTGTCACCTCATTTAACCTTGGCCAAACCACGATGCCTCCTGAACCCTTAGTTTATTATTCTACGAGGTGAATCCCTGTAGAAGCAGGGTTAGCAATCCCTGCCTGCCTCTGGAGGCTGCTGCAGCACTCACGTGAGATGTCAAGTGCTTTTGACAAACTAAAGAGCTGTGTCCCCAGGAGGAAGGGGGGAGCCGGAAGAGTTGGCTCTGGTGGCAGCACCAATCCAAGGGTCCCTGATGGACACTGGACAGTGGCCAGGCTGCTGCTCTCTTAGAACTGCTGCTTGGAGTAATGTGGGTCAAACCCACCCATAGCCTGGGGAGACGGGGTCTGAGTACCAGCAACTCACAAAAGGGGAAGGGAGCGGGGATGAAATGAAGATGACAAGGGAGAGCTGGAGGAGTCCTTTTTTCCTCCTAAGACCAAAGGGAGAAGGCAAACCAGTGATTTAAACGACGGTTTTTGTCTCTGCAGAGCTGTTCATCACCTTCCCTTTTCCCCCTAGGCCTTCACTATTGCAAGAGGCCTTAATGTGTAAGCTGAGGACTGGCACCTGCCAAGTCAGGTGGGGGTGGGGTGGAAAATCCTCATGTCTTTGAATCGGACCAGTGTTTAAAATGATTTTGGAAGAGGGATTTGTGCCGTTTTCCCAGACAAGCATCCCAAGTTCCCTCCTGGTAGGGTAGGGGGACAGGGAGGGAGGGAGGGAGGGAGGCCCAGCGCATCCCAGGCTGTGAGTGGATGAAGAAGGAAAGCAGGGGGTGGGGGTGCTCCTGCAGCCCTCCCAAGTGGCATCTGATTTTTGCAAAAAGGGTGAAGGCAGCAGGAGGCTCAGAGCCAGGGCCGGGGAGGCAGGTGGAGAGGGTGTCCGTGGAGGGGCTGTACCGTCAGCCTGGGCCCCCAGTGGAAAGCTAAATAGAAAGGCCCTGTGTCAGCAGCCAGGCCCCTGGGCGGCCAGGCTCTCGGCTCCATTCTGTTCAGCGGGATTCTGGTTGGCACCAGCTGCAGTCAGGAACAATGCCTGGATTTCTTTCTTTCTTCTTCTTTTTTTTTTTCCATTTTAATAGAGGGGGAGAAGAACCAGAGCCACTCATTGAACAGCTCAGCATCGTGGAGGCGTCTGGGACCGTGTGTCCTTGAAAATAGCACAGTCGAAGGGGCCCCACAGCTGGCTGCAAGGTGCAAGAAGGCATGTCACACTGGGAGCTCCAGGTCCCAGCCCTGCTGCTGTCCTATACTTGCTGTGTGACCTTGGGCAGGTCCATGTGCCACTCTGGCTTTCCTACAGCCCCAGCAGAGCTTACCTTCCAGACCCCACTCAATGCCAACTCCTCTTCTTCCCCTGAACTCTTAGACTGGCATTTGGTGTGGGCAGTTGTTTCTGAGAGCCTGTGAGCCCCCAGAGGACTGGTTCTGGTCATACTATGTGCCGTGATACCTCCCCTGCTCTTGATGGCCTGTCAGCCCCCAAGGCGCTGCACTGGGTGATGGGATGTAGCAGTGAGCCATCCTATGACCTGCAGCCCTGACAGAAGAGGGGTATGTAACACATAACCTCCCCAGCCTGTGAGGTGTCACACTAGGAAATGAAACTCCCTGTGCCTCTGTTTCCTCATCTGTAAAATGAGAATACTAATACTCAGCTCAGAGGATGGGAGGAGTTCATGTATATGAGCTACTCAGTGCCTGGCACATAGCAAGAACTTCACAAGCAATTGCCATGGTGATGCTGATGATGGAGGCTGGGCCAGCAGCATATGGGGGCTGAGACAAGGACGGCACATCTGGTGGAGGTATCAGGGTAGGCTTCCAAGCAGGTGGTTGTAGATGCATCCTTGGCGACTGGGAGGGGTATGTCTAGGAGGTAGGAAGAGTATCAACAACAGCACAGAGGTAAGAGTATGTACATAATGCTGGCAATTCTGGAAGTCACCCAGCATGGCTACAGGATTAGGTGAGAAAAAGAAAGCATGAGCCTTGAGGCTGGAGGAGGACTGCGTAGCCAGGAGGAGGGGAGATGCTGAGGATCTGAGATCTTCCACCACCCCTCTCAGGGTTAAGGAGCTGTCAGGAAGCAGGTGGGAGGCGTGGTCCTTCTCAGGTTGCTTGTCCCAGACTCCTTCATCAGTTTCTGCATGTACTTGCTCCTTTGAAGGGGTGCTGACGCAGGTGAGGGGACACTGGATGAGGAGACCTGGCTCTTCTCTGCACCCCCTCGCCCCCAGGAGTTGCTGGTACTACAGGCATGTGCCACCATGCCTGGCTGAGACCTGGCTCTTGTTCCAGCTCTGGTGCTTCCCAGTGGTGCAGCCCTGGGAAAGCCACCACCTCCTTTTAGGGCTCAGCTTAGTCACCCACAAAAGGAATGTTATGAGGCGCAGAGAGTGAGAGGTGCCCCATGAAGGGAGATGTTAGGGTCATTAACTCCTCACAGTCCTAGACAGTCACAGTTCTGAGCAGCTCTCTCCAGGTATTTATTTTTTGTCCCTACTCCACTAAATGGCCCCCTCTGAAAGCCCTCCCTAAAGCAGGGCCCCCTCAAACCCTAAAGTGAACTGTAGCTCAGTCCAGGGGTTAAAGGATCAGACCTACAGAATCTAAGAACAAGCAGAGGCAAAAGTGCTGCTGGATATCCCATACTCTCTGCCTCGGCAGATGGGGAACAGACACAGGGAGGGTTTGTGATGTGCTTACGCCACGCAGCAAATCAGGCAATGCCAGGCTGAGCACATAGGTGTCCCAGCTCCTGAGGCAGGCCCCCGGCCTATTATCTTGTGTCTCCCATCTGAAGAAGGGGGTGGTGGCTGAGTTGAGTCTTGAACCATAGGGCAGAGCTCCATGGTGGAAAGTCAGAAGACATCTTGCTTGAGGGAAGGCCTTGGAGGATGGGAAGGTGTGGGCTCAGGTCTGATTGGAAAATGAGGGGGAGGCAGAGTAGGAGAGCCTAATTTGCTGAAGGACAAAAATCTTCCCTGCTTGACCCAACCACCCACCTCATAGAGGAATACGGCTCAGAGCTGGGCCCGGGCCAAATGCTTCCTGTATCCACCAAGGGGTGAAGACTAAATGTAATCCCTATTACCTCACTGCCATGGGAAGGGCCCCAGTCATTCCCTGGCAAGTGGGTGAGTCTTTACTCCACCTCAAAGTAGCTGGTAGGTCATCTTACCTGCACCATAACCTGGCAGTGAGATGAGGGCAAGTCCCTATTCTTAACCTCAAGGCCCAGCCCAGACCCGGAGCCCAATCTTGGCTCCACCCACTCAGCAGCTCTGAGATCTTTATTGTTTTGTTTAGTTTTTTTTGAGACAGGGTCATGCTCTGTTGCCCGGTCTGGAGTGCAGTGGCACAATCATGGCTCACTGCAGCCTCAGCCTCCTAGGATCCAGTGATCCTCTGACCTTAGCCCCTCAAGTAGCTGGACTACAGGCATGTGCTACCATGCCTGGTTAATTTTTGTATTTTTTTTGTAGAGACAAGGTCTTGCTATATTACCCAGGCTGGTCTCGAACTCCTGAGCTCAAGTGATCTGTCCCGCTTGGCCTCCTAAAGTCCTGAGATTACAGGTGTGAGCCGCTATGCCCAGCCAGCTGTGAGATCTTGAGCAGACCACTTAACCTCTCTGAGCCTCTTCCCTTAGCAGGGAATGACATCTGGCTTGCGGAGAGGATACAACGAATGTTTCCAAAGTGCCTGGCACACAATAAGTACTCAATAAATGTGATTTTCTTCCTACCTCTCTAGTCTCAATTTTAGATGTTCCCTGGCTCCCTTAAGTTCCAGAAGTGAGGGGTGGAGAGTGGGAACAGAGAAGGCAGCTCCTGGATAAGTAGGAATCCCTGCTGTATACCTGCCCCTACCTCAGCTCACACTAGGAGGCCATACTTGCCACACCCTACACAGGTCTTTTGCTTCCCTCAGGGACCTCAAGCCTCTAACCCCCACCATCCTGCTGGCCCCCAGATTTTCTGCCTCCTGAAACCTGGGCCTAGGGCCCAGCAGTGGTACTCTCCCCAGTCCACTGGTAGCTCCCACAGGGCAGGGAAATTAACAGCACTTGAGTCTGTTCTGAAGGTAGGCACAAGCCAGCTGCCCCATGCCGCCCGTGCCCTCCTAGTGGAGCCAGGTGACCTCTGGGCCTGCAGGGGCTGAGCAGGATGCATCTTCCAGCTCTGGGCCACTGGGAAGTGATGGTATTGTCCTCTCTATCTCACCAGCAGATCTCCAGGCCCAGTGAGGCTAAGGCTCTTGGGGTGAAGATTTTGGACACAGTTCCCAGTGAGGCCTGATGGCACCATAGACCTTACAGGGGCTCAGAGGCAGAAAGCATTTTGCTTAGGGCCACACAGTCTATGGATGAAGACACATAGCCAGGGCTAAGAGGACAACAGGGAACTCTGCTAATGGGGGCCCAAGTTCCCATCCTGACCAGTGTTGAGGAAGCCATTCACAGTTTTCTCTGAAAAGAGGATGGTAGCAGCATCTAACTTAAGACAATGTGCAAATTCAATAAGCGAACTGAATTCTCAATACCTAGGAGGCCCCACCACAGTACTCAGCACACAGTAGGCAATAAATAAGTCATAACTTCTTCCAAGACCCCAGAGGTATCCAGCCTGCCCCATTATCTCCCTGGAAGATGAACAGAGAGTAAGGGCCTCAGAGACCCAAGGAGAGGAGCCTAGGGCAGACCCAGGGCCCTGGTGGGTTTCTGACTTGCCACCATGCTTGCACAGAAGGGGACAGCTGAAATGATCCCTGGTTCTGTGCTACTAAGTTGAGCCTACTTGGCTCCTCTGCCCTCTGCAGCCACTTCCTGGGTTCCAGATGTAATTACTGGTAGGAGAGTAGGGGGCTGGGACGTGGGGTGGGGAGATGGAGCTTCTGGACAGGAGACTTTGAACATGAGTTAGTCACCTCCCAAGTCATCTACATCCCCCAATTCCTGGAAGCGGGCAGGTCCTGGGTACTTACTGAGGAATCTGGACAGAAAGGTTGAGAGGCTGGGCGTCCAGACCTAGGAGGTCATTCAGGCAACAAAAACTGGTCTAGTTTTTAGCTGGGCTGCATGCTAGTATCCCAAGTCCTTAAACAGCCAGAAACTCTCTTGGGATTTTGGATGTGGGTATGGGGTGGCTGTACGACTGTCGCAATGCTGTGGATTGCTGGGAGTGGGACAGTTGTATCTCCAGCCTCCATTCTGCAAGCTGAATTCCTACCTTCAGAGGTTTCTCAGGTGGCCCTGGTGGACCTACCTGTGAACTTGGGCCACACACAGGCTGAGGAGGAGGGGCTCCCTCACACAGGAATGTGCTGGGATCATGACTCCCTGGTGTCCCTAGAGGTCTGGAAGTGCTTTCATATCACCACCCTCTCCAGGGATGCTCAACTGCCACCTACGGGGGGGGGGGGGGGGGGGGGGAGTGGGAGAGCAGCGGTGATCACAGTCCATGTCCATGTGACAGGTAAGAAGACTGAGGCCCAAAAAATTGCAGAGGGAGGAAGACTTTCCCCTGGGGAAAATAAGATAGCACCTCCCCTCCCCCGCCGCTTGCGCTCCCCACACCACGTCCCCCACGCCCAGGTGGACCTGAGCAGCAGTTTTCTGAGCTCTCAGGAATTCCAGGCTGAGTTCACCGGCTGTCAGACTAGCGGAGCCTTGAGAATGAATTCAAAGCTGGCAAATTCATTCTGCCTTCTCTCCCTCGGTAGTGGAAGGAGTGATCTCTCCGGCTCTGAAGGAGTTCAAGCCGAGGTCAGCGAAGCCCTCAGAAGGATGTTCTAAAATGGGGTTGGTGGGGGTAGTGCTCCGGCCTGCTTCCCGGGTTGGCCCAAGGTCCGCGCTGATCACCGCCCAAGCGGCCCGGGAGACCCGCAAGTCTGGGCAGCACGTCTGCTCCCTTGCGGGGCCTCGTCAGTCAGGCGGTGGCTCCGGCCGGGCCAGGACGTCTTCGGCCCGCCCCAGGCCCCCGGGGAGACCCCCGCCCCGGCCGCCTCCGGGTGCCCGCCCCCCCCCCCGGCAGTGTCATTGTTCTCTGACGTCACGCCTCGGCCCCGCCCCTCTCCCCCCACCCTTCCTCCCCCACCTCCGGCTCCCCGCGCCCGCGACCCCGCAGCCTCCCAAGCCCCGGCTGCGCAGGGCTCCCCCCGCAGCCCGACTGGGGCTGCGCCCCCTTGCGCTCTCCCCAACTTGCCTTTGTTATTCCAGCTCCCTTCCTCTCCTCGCCTCCGACACGGCGGCGGCCTGCAAAACGTGGAGCGCGGAGTCACCGCCACACCTGGAATCCGAAGCGGGCTCCGCGGGCTCCGCGCTGAAGCCGCCCCCGCCTGCTGGGGAGGGGAGTGCGTGCGTGCGCGCCTGTGTGTGGGTCCAAAGGGGGCTGCGTGGGCGCCGATTATGATTGGGACTTGGGGTGCCGAAAATCAGGAGTGGGGGCCCTTGAGGAAGGGGTATGGAAGAGGAGTGGGAGAGGAGGGCGTGTGTTTGGGTGTGTACGTGAACGTGAGAATTTAGTGCCCAGGGGAACGTTTCGTGTTTTGTGTTTTGAGTGTGTGTGGGGTTGTATACAGCGATGTGTGTAAGTGTGCAACTGCGTGTCTTTGAGCGTGCTTGCTGTGGCCGTGTAAGCGGGCATCTTTGTGAGGGAAAGTAAGCGAGTGTGTGGGGGCGCGTTTGTGGTTTGGGGGGAGCGTGTTTGCAATGCTGAGGGAGCGAATGTGTGTACTGTGTAGGAGTTTCCGTGAGAGTGGCAGTGGACGTGAGCCAAAGTGGGCGCGCACTTGGATGCTCTCGGGGGTGAGTCTGCTAGGGGAACTCCCGCGAGTGGGCGCACACAACTGCGCCTCGTGGGTACCTTAGCTCTCGGCTACCTCAGGCAGTGCCTAGACCGGGGCGGAGGGCCGGGCGCGAGCCTAGCAGCCCCCGAGCGACCGAGCGCACAGCGTTCCGGGCGCTCCGCGCGGCGCCTCCGGGAATCCACGCGTCTCTGGACTGTTAGGTGTCGCGGATCTACTGTGCGCACCGCACCCCCCGCTCCCCCACAGCTGTCGGGGGCCGCGCTCTAGTCTGCCCCAACGTCATCCTTGGCGGTGGTGGTCCTCTTCCCGTTCCACCCGCCAGTCCCCGGGCTGTAGGAACAATTTCAAAATCTCCTCCGGGGAAGACTTTGGAAATCCAGTTAACAACTCGCTCACCCCCAGTTCGGGTACCTGACAGCGCCCGGGGCCACGAGTGCACTCCAGGCAGGGGCGCGCCAGCGCGAGGCAGGGGCTCTCGGGTGAGCCGGGTGATTTTGGCTTCCTACCCCAGGGTGGTCTCTACCTAGGCTCACATTTTTTACCCTCTCCAAACTTACTGGGGCTGGGGCCTGCAGGGGGGCGGGAGGGGGTCTGCAAGGGGCGTTAGGGAGTAGCGGAGGGAGTAGGACAAGGAGGGAAGTGAGTGGACGGGCGGCGTAGCGGAACTAGGAGCCCGGAGGAGAAAAGCTTGGAGAGCGCCGGGACCGAGGAACAGGGAGGAAAGTGAGGAAGACTAGGGAAAGGAAAGGCGAGGGAGAGAACGAGGAGAGGCGAAAAGGAAAGGGGAAAGAGAGCTCGCAGCGAGAGCGCAGAGCGCGAGCCAAGCCGAGTGGAGCAGAGTCGAGCCGAGCGCTGTTAGCGGCGGCGGCACAGCGCGGCGCGGCGCTGCGCTCCGCTCCGGTCTTATTCCGCACCGGCTTTTGCGGCCGGCCGGCGGCGCGGGGCCCTTTGGAAATAGAATAGCCAATGTAATCTGACACTTCAACTTGCTCGGCTCCGGGCGAGTTGATTCACTTACTCACCCCCTAACGCCGAGTTCCTTTTCACTGTCTGTGGACATTAAAAAAGCTAGCGGCGGCGGCGGCGGGCGCCGGGGAGAGCGAGCGGCCGGGCGGCAGGCGGGCGAGCAGCGATCGGGCGGCCGAACGAGCAGGCAACGCCGGCGCAGCGCGGTGACCCCAGCCCTAGCCGGCGCGGAGCGGGAGCAGGAGCCGAGCGGATCTCGGCGCCCTCACTGCGCTCCTCCCGGCCCGAGCCTGCCCTACCCGGCGGTGGCGTCGGCGCGTCCTCCAGCGGCGGCAGCGGCGCTCGCAGCGCCGGGTAAGTTTGGGGCCAGAGCCGGGCGCCCGCTAGCTCCGCAGCTACCTCTGGCTCCCGGCTGACTTGGGGCGCAAGCGTGGGGTGCTGGGTGCCTGGTGCTGGGGCTTTTCCCTTAAAGGGTCCCCCGGAGCTGGGCGACCGGCTGGCGGCGCGGGCTCAGCTCCGCTCCCCTTGGTGGCCGGGGGCGGAGGCCCAGCGGCCGGCGAGCTCCCGGCTGTGCGGAGCCGGCTTGGGCTGCGCGCGGGGGCCGGGTTTGTCGGGGTGTGCGGGGCGTAAGTGTGGTCGTGCGCGCGCGGACCGGGTGCCCGCCTCCTGCCGGCGCGCCTCCAGCCCTCGCTCTCTACACCCGGGAGCCGGGCAGGACCGGGAATCGGAGGAGGGAGGGAAGGACCGGGGAAGGACCGCCTCGGTCTCCTTCGCCTCCTCTGGGGAGATGCGAAGTTGGCGCCAGTGTGTGTGCAGTAACCGCCGGAGAAGGCGCCGGATTTCAGGGTGGCAAGGGGTGGTGGTGTTAAGTTGTGCGTCTGAATTTCCAGGGAAAACATACACTTTTGTAAATGGTAGGTGGGGGCGCGGTTAAGTTGTTTGTGTGGGAATTGCCCGGGGAAGGGCGGCGCGCGGTACGAACGAGGAACGCGGAGGGGTGTGTGTAAGGGCTTCTGCTAGGGCTTCGGAAGCCCGAGGGGCGCTCAGGCCAACGCCTGGACGGGGCTGCCCCGGCCAGGAGGGGAGCCCAGGGGGAAGATGTGCGTGTGTGTGCGCGCGCGCGCGTTGCAAATACGAAAGTAATTTCCCGGTGTTCTTTCTTCCTCTTAGTCTCCGGCGGCGGTGGCCCCGAGGGAGTGGGAGGCCGGCCGGGGCGGCGGTTGGGGGGCCAGGGCTGGAGCCGGGGTCTGGGGGGAGGCGGGCTCTGGAAGCTTGTTTCACATTCCTGGCGTCTGGGCTGGGAAAAAAACAGTGGGGAGCGCGGCCTCCGCGTCTAGGGCGCGGGCAGCGGGCGCGCGTCGCCCCCTCGCCGGGGACATCTGTCCAGGAAGCCGGCCGGGCGGGGAGAGGACGCGGTGCGGAGGGCAGGCTCCCCGCCCTGGAGCGGTGGGGGCGCGGGCGAGGAGCGGCCGCCTTCCCGGCCATTGTGCGCCAGCAGATTTTCACGGGAGACTGCCCCGGAGCCGCCGGAGAAGGCCGGGAGCCGGCCTCTGCCCGGGGTTTAAAAGACACTCCAGGAATGTAAACAACACGGGCGGGAGGGCGGGCGTACGGGAGCGCGCCAGGGCACCCAGCCGGGGCCCCCCACCCCTCCCCGGGGGACAGCCCGTCGGCACTGCCGCCTTGCCCTACCCCTCTACCTGCAGTAAACTTTTTCCTCCTCTGCCTTCCCTTCCCACCTCGCCCCTCCAGCAGGTCACTGAGCGAGAGCTCTCGGGTGGGCCAAGGGTGCTTGGTACCCTTGCCTGACCGGGGGAGGCCTGGCGACTGGGTCCCTGCTTCGGTGCCCGGAGCTCCCGTTGCGTCTGCCCGGGAGCCGCCAGCTTCCTGGGATGGCTGTGTCCGAGTAACTGGGGCTCTGAGCCTGCCCGCCTGCCTGCCTCCCTCCCTCCCTCCCGCTGCTCCTTCCCCCGCGCGCTCTCCCCCTTCTCCTCTCCCCCTGACTGCTTTTCCAATGCCCTGACATGAGGGAGGAAGATTTAACTTGGCAGCCCAAACAAATGTTCTCTCAGAGGTCCTCCAAGAAGCTGGCGGCTGGACTGGCGGGGTGAGGGCACGGCTCGGCCAGCCTTTCCCTCCTCTCTGCTCTGCCACGGACATTTGGAGCCCTCTGGGTGGACAGCCCAGGGCATGGGAGAGTAGGGCCCAGCCCCAGTGATTTAAAAGGGCAGCGGGCGACCGCCTGTGGAAGCCCCTGGCTCCGCGCCGGGTGCAGAGCCGCTCCGAGCTGCCTCCTGGTGCCAAGGGTTTTCTGAAGGATTTTCTTGAGCAACAGTTTGTCTCCCTGCTGCAACCTGGGAACCGGGCCTGGTAGACCAGAGGGTTAACCAGTGCCGACTCCTCCTCCCTGGTGGGTGTGAGGACAGGCTGGTTACACCGGGCAGGGCGGGAGGCCAGAGGCTGTTCCCAGAGGTGCCTGGGTTTGCTTATTATTGTTTTTGAAGGTGTAGATAAAGAGGCAGGCGCTGGGGCTGGAGAGCCGGGCAGCTTGGCGCTGGTGAATTCCAGCCTGCCTTCGCTGGCGCTGGTAGGGTCCCGGGAGTGTGAAGCTGCTGCTGAGCTATCGGGGAAGTTGAGATGAGAGAGCAGGCTGTTAGCCTTCTCCGTCCTGGCCGCTTTGTGAGGGGGTCCAGAGTGCGGAAATTCCCGGCCCCTCACTCACCAGCTTCTGGCCCCAGTGCAGAGGCAGGGTGGGTTTGTGAATACCCCGAGCCTTGGGCTGACCTTTCCCTCTTCAAGTCGAGGATGTTGAAACACCAGCATCAAACAAAAGACACATTGAAAGCCCTATCTGCTACAGAGCACGTGTGACTTGGGGGCCCAGGGACTGCATTTGGAGGGAGATGGTGTTTTCTTCCGAGCCTAATGATTTCGGTTGGGTTTTGTTTTCCCCCGAAGGACAGAAGCGGCTCCTTGTCCCAAATCACGAGGTTACGAAACGCTGTTTTCACATGTAAATCTCAAAAGTTTAGACTTCTGAGAGTTGGTGGCAGTGACTGGAGGTGGGGGGCGGGGGGAGGAGAAGGGAGCAGTAGGGAGTGGATTCGAGAGGTGGATGTGGCATTTTGGGTAGGGCTCACTGAGAAGATTGGGAATAAGAAATCACCGGTCTTATGAATAAATAGACTTGTCTATGCAGAAAAGGGTTGCCTTCATGGGGACAAAATGTACCTTTTCTCTCCTAAGGAAATGGGGGAGGAGGGTTCTTGTTTCTCTCACAGCCAGGAGCAAAATGAAGAAAGGTCCAGAGACTGCGGGATTTGGCGACTTAACTACAGTTTCTCACTCGCACGCGCACGCTCACTTCCCTAGCTAGAGTAAAACAACATTGTCTCCATCCCTGGCCCCTAAAGACATGCCTCCAACATAGGACAGGTGTCCACGGTTGACTCATTTCAGAAAATTGCAGGGGCGAGGACCCAACTGAGAAGAACTGCAAACTTCACTTTTTTTCCTGATGGGGGGAGGGGCGGAGGGATCAAGGAAGGAAGGCACTTTGAGGCCTGAGAGTTTTGTCACAAGAGTACCTGCATATAAAGCCACTGACCCCAAGGGTCCAATGAGTGGCCATGACCCTGGCCTCAGGGTGAGGCGTTGTAGGAAATTTGGGCACCAACTAGTTAATTTCCGGAAGCTTCTGTGGCCACTTGGTCATGGGACCAGGAAGCAGGGCCCTCGGGTCGTGGCTGGGTCCCCTACACTTCCATTCATAACTTTGCTACCCAGGGCCCTGGCCTGGCTCCTGTCGCTGCTGCCTGGTCTTTATGATGCTCCTTAGATTTTGCGTGGACAACAAAGGCAGGGCTGCCACAATTACCCACGACACCGCTGCAGCCTTGCTTGGCGACGGCTCTGACCTCTTAGCAGGACACAGTGCCCTCTGCCCATGCCCTGTGGAGAAGTGTTC